CTAAATCTTTATCATCAACCAGCTTTCAGTCTCTTCTCATCTGGTCTATTTTTTTCCTTTAAATGCCGTTTTAGGAGACGTGCAGTGGGTTAAATAATATATGGTGGTGGTGGCCATCTTGGATTTTGATGTGGCCACCAAACCTTTAATAGGACCTTTCTCAAGCTTAGTTACTGCCACACATCAAAATGAAAATCACTTATTTTTCCAGTTATGCAGCTCACAAGATGAACAGACTGAGGGTTTTTACAATTCCTCTCTTTGGTGAGACGACGGACAATAATCTGACATTAATTTAATTTCCAGATTATCACTGAACAGGACTGAATTTCTGATTGACGGTCAGTTTGCAGGAGTCACCTKGATGTCAGCCAACAGTTTGTAAACTCTGATGACACAATGAATCAGATCTGCAGAGCAATCAGATTGTGTGACTGATGAAGGTTGCACACTGATATAAAGTGGTTTCTGATCAAGCACCAAATTAAATGCCACCCACGTTCCTGCAGGGCAAAGAGTCAGGTTTTGATTGGCTGAGAGATTATGAGAACCYGACTTCAGCGCCCTTGGGAGAGCGTGTTGGTGAGAGCATGTTATGAGACGAAATGAAACCATGTGTGTGAGCAGAGATTAACAGGTGTGAAATGAACAGACAGACGCTCACCTGCATCACTGTCCCCCCTCTTAAGAAAAATCATCAGGGGTTAATTTAACCACATGGACCAGTAGATATGGRAAGGATTATCAATAACAGATGGATGATTGAAGGATAAAGGGCAACAGGATCAAACAAAGTCTACATGTGCTGATTAAAATCCGATTTCATTCTTCTTTGAATTTAAAAATGTGAGTTATGAAAATCTAAAACTTAGTGTAAAGAGAAGCTGCAGGTTGAAGCTCTAACTCATTTAAAGTCATAAGGAAAATACAATAGAACCTCATCTTAATATACAGCCCACATTTTTTATTGCTACGGATGAGCCTCAAACCCTCAGTATAGTATCCTCATTTTTTTGCGTGGCATTCCAAACTCTTCACATCAACCCTGCTGTCTTACTTCATGTCTCTCTTGGTTCTGTAATGGTGGCTGTATAAATAAATAAATAAACTTGCATCTTTGTGGGATGTGGGCGGCTCAAATGAAGATTTATGAACGACAAGAAGCAGTTAAAAGTGGTGCTCGCGTTTGTGGACAAATTGCGAAAACGTTTTGTGAAAGAGGCTTAGAATAAATTACAGACCATCTATGGCARGAGTTACCAAACCTATTCAGCTTATGAGCCAGTATATAACAAAATATGACAAAGATGATCACTGGATGAAGTGAACAATCTTGCCAAAAACAAATTAAACCAAGCTTAATTTCACTTTCAAGATCTTGTTCCATATTTTCTTAGTAGAGCACTATTTATATACGTTATATCATTTTAGTTGTTGGCATAAGTTGTCTAAAACATTATAGTGTGACAGGACATGCATATTGACTACTATTTGAAATATTCTCTTTTTCTGTAAATTGATCTAATTTTGTCATAAATCTCTAAAATTTCTGAAAACTGTGGCCTGTAACTATTGAACACACATTTCTCACCATTCTTATAAAGAGGAATGACTTTAGCTATTATATTATATTATATTATATT